AGCCAATGATCTAGAGGAAAAATGACAAGAGAACAGTACAGCATTGTCAAGACTGAGCTACTACGTCTGGGCCTGTCTAGGTGTCCTGTGGCTTTGAGGTTTCTAAAATTAAAGCAACTCTCTTTTCTACCGCTTTCTCAGCATGACCGTTTGGTAGTCAGAACCGCTGATGACTCCCAGTCGTGGCCTGCTGGAGCAGAGGCCAGCTGACAGATTCCTATTTCCTTACTAAGCAGTTTTGACCCATGGGCTTGGCACATATTTGAAATGGGCAACCCTGATCTCTGACAACCAACAGAAATTTTCCTTCCTTGAGTCAGAAACCAACCATTTAGATTTCCCTTCTCCGGGATTAAGTGTGATGCTCCTGTCTCTATGGATTTTCCAGGAGTAAGAGGACATGAGTCTTTGACTTCCCTGACCACAAACCAGCTATGGTCACATATTTTTCTCTCCTCTTTACTACTTTAAAGAAGGGTGCTTTTATTTTGAGAAAAACGATGACCGTGTTCTAGAACGAATGCTTTCTTTTTTTTTTTTTTTTAAGATTTTATTTATTTATTTGACAGAGAGAGAGAGAGCAAGGGCAGAAACACAAGCAGGGGGAGTGGGAGAGGGAGAAGCAGGCTTCCCGCTGAGCAGGGAGCCCGATGCGGTGCTCGATCCCAGGACCCCGGGATCATGACCTGAGCCGAAGGCAGACGCTTAACGACTGAGCCACTCAGGTGCCCCTAGAACGAATGCTTTCTTATCCGTTTCTGAATCCTGCAGAGGTAGTCACGTAGGCATGCACTGAACATTCAGATGGCCAACCTCTCTTCCTTCACTGGATCTCCACCTGGTCCTCGGTCCCACTCCATCTGAGAACTTCCCTCCCGTCCAATATCATGCCACGGACAGTTCCACTCGACTTTTGTTTGTTGAATGAGTAAATGAAAGTTCAGTGTAACATTAGGAGTATAGGAGTCCTAGGAATCCTAAGGTTAATAGGCTTTCTCATTCCAGATCGGCTCCTATTTTGGGAGTGTGCTGTGTTCCGTCGATGTGAATAAAGACACCATTACAGATGTGCTCTTGGTGGGTGCACCAATGTACATGAACGACTTAAAGAAAGAGGAAGGAAGAGTCTACCTGTTTACCATCACAAGGGTAAGAAAAATTATTAAACTGACTTAGTTTAATTTACTTCGGTATTGGTAAATAAAAGTCAATCTGCATTTTTGCAGAATAAAGAATTATTGAATGATTTTCATATGTAGTATGGTTTATATTTCATCATTTTGAGGATATAACCATTATTTATAATTTTTAAAATCACATTAAAAAGCATAACCTTCAGAGAAAGAGTTTATTGCACTGCCGTTTTCTATGTAAGGTCTTTGAATATATAAGATATATATATATAATATATATCCAAAGTATTGTCATTTTTGAAATGCATGCACATACAAACATCTGTGTATTTCCTAAGTACCTCCTTCAATTCTTCTTCTTCACTGTAAAGAGATCATAATAACAGAACAAACTATCTTATTAACATTTTACAGTGGAAAGGACAAATTGTACCAGGCACTTTGCACATTTTTGTTTAATCCTGGATGCTTTTTACATTAGGTTGTCAGGAAATTCTGTTGTTTAATATAACAGTTATATGCAGCTCTTGGAAATTTTAGTCCTTGCACCTAAAACTTAGCAGCCTCTAACTAGACTGAGCTCTTTAAATCCACATCCATAGTATAATGAACTCGGAGCTGAAAAGAAAACCAAAATTAAAGACACAAGCTGACCTAGAAAACTGGAGAAAGGGTGGGGAAAAAAAGGGTAGCTGATTAATATAGTAAATATTATGTTTTGCTGTTGTGATAGTTTGTCCTACCTTATTTATTTAAATGAATGCAAAAATTAGCTCTCAAACAGGAGCAATTAAAACAATTCTAAAGCAGGGGTGCTTGGGTGACTCAGTTTGTTGGGCATCCAACTCTTGATTTTGGCTCAAGTCATGATCTCAGGGTCATGAGATTGAGCCTTGAGTCTGGCTCCTCACTGAGCATGGAGCCTACTTAAGATTCTCTCTCTCCCTCTCCCACCCCCTACTCAGCGTGTTCTCTCTCTCTCTCTCTCTCTTCCCCCCCCACTTAAAAAAATTCTAAAGCATATAAAGAATGTATAATTGAGTATTCAGTAAGGAAGGGGCATAAATACTTGTTTAAAAATTTAACAAATCCCTAGTTTCTTAAATGTTTGTTACTTCTCAAATATTCTGAATTATCATTAGTTGTTGAAGATGAGAAGATCTCCTAATAATTTGTCAATCTCAGTTACAAAGTGATTTCCGTAAAATTATTATAGAGAAGAATCAACACTGACCTAGTTTCATGGTTGAGAAGCATCGCTTTCTTGTGAAGTCATGAAATATTTCCATTCCTGATTCCAAAATCTAGAAGAAAAAAAAAAAAACAAAAAGTCTTTGGGCAGAATTATTTTTTATAATGTGACATTAACAGTCTCTATTTTTTTTTTTTTTTAGTATAGTTGACACACAATGTTACATTAGTTTCAGGTATACAACAAGGTGATTTGACAAGTTTATACATCATGCTATGTTCATTCACAATTATAGCTACCATCTGTCCCTTTACATCATCAGTTCATTCACAGTATTTCTTATGCTGTAATTTTTTTTTTATTATTCCTGTGACTTACTCATGACACAACTGGAAGCCTGTTATCTCCCTCTCCCCTTCACCTATTTCGCCTGACACTCTAGCCCCTCCCCTCCCCACTGGCTCTGGCAACCACCAGTTTGTTCTCTGTATTTATAGGTCTGCTTCTGCTTTTTGTTTATTCATTTGCTTCATTTTTTTTTTTTTTTAGAGACCACTTATGAGTGGAATCATGCAATATTTCTTTCTCTGACTGACCTAATTCACTTTGCATAATACCCTCTAGTTCTATGTTATCTCAAATGGCACGATTTCCTCCTTTTTTATAGTTGTGTAATATTTGTGTGTGTGTGTATGTACAAATTTTCCTTATCCATTTGTCTATTGATGGACACTCAGGTTGTCCCCATATCTTGGCTATTGTAAATAATGCTGCAATAAACACAGGGTGCATATATCTTTTCAAATTAGTGTTTTTGCTTTCTTTGCGTAAATACCCAATAGTGAAATTATTGGATCATATGGTATTTCTATATTTAATTTTTTGAGGAAACTGCATTGTTTTCCACAGTGGCTATACCAATTTACATTCCTACCAACAGTGCACAAGGATTTCTTTTTCTCCACATCCTTGCCAACACTTGCTATTTCTTGTCATTTTGATTTTAACCATTCTAATTGTTGTCAGGTGATATCTCATTGTGGTTTTGATTTGTATTTCTCTGATGAGTGATGTTGAGCATCTTCCCATGTGTCGGCCATCTGTATGTTTTCTTTGGAAAAATGTCTATTCAGGTCCTCTGCCCATTTTTTTAATTGGATTGTTTGGTTTTTTGGTGTGGTATAAGTTCTTCATATATTTTGAATATTAACCCCTTATTGGATCTATCATTTGTAAGTATCTTCTCCCATTCAGTAGGTTGTCTTTTTGTTTTGTCAGTGGTTTCAAACCTTTGCTGTGCAGAAGCCTTTTACTTTTATTTTTTTAAGATTTTATTTGAGAGAGAGCACAAGTAGGGGAAAGGGGCAGAGGGAGAAGCAGGCTCCCCACTTAGCAGGGAGCCCAAAGCAAGGCTTGATCCTAGAACCCCGGGATCATGACCTGAGCCAAAGGCAGATACTTAACCACTGAGCCACCAAGGTGCCCTGTGCAGAAGCCTTTTACTTTGGTGTAGTCTCAATAGTTTATTTTTGCTTTTGTTTTCCTTGCCTCAGGAGACCTAGCTAGAGAAATGTTGCTATTGCTGATGTCAGAGAAATTACTGCCTGTGTCCTCTTATAGGATTTTTATGGTTTCAGGTCTCACATATATGTCTTTAGTCCGTTTTGAGTTTATTTTTGTGTTTCGTGTTAGAAAGTGGTCTAGTTTCATTCTATAGCATGTAGCTGTCCAGTAATCCCAGCACTATTAATTTAAAAGACTGTCTTCTCCCCATTGTATATTCTTGCCTCCTTTATCATAGATCAACTGACCATATAATCATGGGTTTATTTCTGGAGTCTCTATTCCTTTGATCTATGTGTCTGTTTTTGTGCCAGTACCACAGTGTTTTGATTACTACAGCTTTGTAGTATATCTTAAAACCTGGAGCTGTGATATGTCCAGCTTCATTCTTAAGATTGCTTTGGCTATTAAGGGTCTTCTGTAGTTTTGTGCAAGTTTTAGTATTTGTTCTGGTTTTGTGAAAAACACTGTTGGTATTTTGACAGAGATTGCATTGAATCTGTAAATTGCTTTGGGCAATATGGACATTTTAACAATGTTCTAGTCCAACTTCAATTGTGTCATCTTCAATTTCTTTCATCGGTGTTTTATACTGTTCGGAGTACAGGTCTTTCACCTATTTGGTTAAGTTTATTCCTAGATATTTTATTTTTGACACAGTTGTAAATGGTGTTGGGTTTTTTTTGTTGTTCTTGTTCTGTTTTTTACATTTCTCTTGCAACGTCATTGTTAGAGTATAGAAATGCTACTGGTTTCTGGGTATTAATTTTGTATCCTGCCACCTTACTAAATTTGTTTATTACTCCCAGTAAGTTTTTGGTGTAGTCTTTAGGATTTTTCTATATATAGTATATATATCGTATCATGTTGTCTGTAAATCATGACAGTTTAATTTCTTCTTTACCAACATGGATGCCTCTATTTCTTCTTTGTGTCTGATTGCTGTGGCTAGGACTTGCAGTATTATGTTGAATAAAAATGATTAGTGAACATCCTTATCCTATTCCTGAGCTCAGAGGGAAAGCTCTGTTTTTCACCATTGAGTATGATGTCAGCTGTGGGTTTTTCACATACGGCCTTTATCATGTTGAGGTATATTCCATCTACCCCCACTTTGTTGAGAGTTTTTATCATAAATTGAGGTTGAATCTTGTCACATGCTTTTTCTGCATCTATTAAGATGATCATGATTTTTACCCTTCATTTTCTTGGTGTGGTGTAGGACATTGATTGATTTGCAAATATTGAAGCATTCTTCGGTCCCTGGAATAAATCCTACCTGATTATGAGGAATGATTGTTTTAACATATTATTGTATGCAATTTGCTAATATTTTTTGTGGAGGATTTTTGTATCTATGTTCATCAGGGATATGGGCCTATAGTTTTGTTTTTGTTTTCTTAGTTTTAATTGGCACTGGCTGTGTTTTATTTATTT